TAAAGCAATTCATTGCTCCTAACTGCTTTCTACTGATAGAATTAAACAGACTTAACTCCATCTGGTTTGTGTTTAGGCATATTAGTGTGCCATTCTTGCTGTGATGTGATACTTGTAAGACTGGGAGCTGACAGCTAAGCCTCTAAAAGAATAAATAACAATTTCTGACTGTATAGGATAGAGTATATGGTCTAAATACCGTCTATTTTAAAGCCATAAGGATAAGTACTGTCTGTATCACTTTCAAAGTCAGAAATATTTTTTGTAGTTGTTTAACTGGCAGACGATGCTGAAACATGATCCTTTTGGAATATACAGAAGTCTGATGTGCAAATGCACATGATGGATCTTGCTCTCTTGTAGTACGCCTGTACGTACTAGGACTGTCTGAGACAGAGCAACAGCCTGTCTGACAGATCAGCTGATGGGTTGAGTGTGTGGGTCCCCATCCTGCCTCACAGTAGAGACTTTCTGAAGCAGCTGCCAGCATGTCTGCTCTCTGTTGCTGGCTCCTTTGGCTGATTCAGGTGATGTAGAGAAACCCACTCCAAAGGACCATGCTACCAGAAATAATAATATTATGTAAGTAATTCTTAGGGAAAATATTTTAAAAATGAAGTTCAGGTGAGAAGTAAAAGAAATGATGTTTTAGAAGGAAAATGTAGCGAGGACAATAAGATAAAATTGTTTCAGGATGGATATTGATGAGTTGATGGGATGGAGCCTGCAATGACTAAGGGTTGCATTTCCAATCAAAGGCTATGATGTGAAACTCTGCATGTTTCAATTTGATGACCTCCACCAAGGGGGAAGAGGGAAAGAGCTAAAAGAAGATGCAATCACTGCTAATAGTGTGTTGCATTGTAATGTGATTGTGTTAAGAGTTTTAGTGCTTTTGCCAGTCACCTGTAGTGGCTAGCTGGAAATTTTATTTCTCCCTTTCCCTGCAGCCTCTGTGCATACAATGGCTTGCTTATTTATTTCTCTGGCGCTTTGATGTTCCAATTTAGACTTGATATACTGGGCAGGGTGTTGTTAGTGATGTTGAGAAACCTTATATATTTTGTTCATGCATGCAGAGTTAATTGCCAGGTCTCTTGAGCAGGAAGCCATTACCCTGAGGTCACCGATCAGGAACCCATGAAGTCTGGTGTCCATTTACTCTGTGGAGCATGATCCCCTTTCCAAGGCAACCTGATCTCTCCCTCTTGCATATAGTTTAAAATTGATATCAAAGTGCTCGAGATTGTTTATGGTGTAGATCTGCTGGATTAAATGCCTTTGATGTGGAAGACAGCAGTTGTGATAGTCTGGTTATGATAGTGCATGTTGGCTTTTCTAGTTTATTTTGATGCATATTTCAATTTTTCGTTATTAAATGTTTTGTTGAAACTCTTGTGTCACTTTTGTATGACACTGTGGTGAGATGGTACACACTACTTTGGGACAGAAAGATTGTCATCTTTTGCCTAATGACCCAGGTGTTTGAAGTTTGTGCTTTTCACACAGAAAGAGTATGTCCTGCTGAAGGCCATCTCCCTAAACCATCAGTAAAGAAAGGAGAAAGATGAGCTTCTCTGTGGCCCACTTTAACCCGGAGCTAGGATTCTGCTCTGAGTATCCCTTTAGAAGAAGATCTCTCTTGAATTTGGAGTGCTCTCCAAGTTGGTTAATCCTGCCTGGTTTGTAGATGTGGGGAACTCTTATTAACTGTACACCTACATATAATTGATGGTGTGATAGGAGGATATGCTCATATGCACAGTGCATCTGCCATAACTCGGCAAAACTAGATTGACCACATATGTGTCAATTGTCTCCATCTCCAGTTTAGAGATTTGCAGAGAACAACTGCAGGAGCTTCATAGCCACACTGTGACTGTGACGCACTGGGGAATCATATCAGGATTGTTGCCCTCCTGCCTAGTGCTGCCCTCAAGGTGCACAATGACCGTTTTCCAATATTTCCAAATGCTACACACCTCGTCAGAGCTTCTGTGATATGTCACAAAAATTTCAGAAAATTGACCAGATTTATTTCTTCCCAGTAGCTGTACAGAGGTCCAGCACAACATGCTTCTAGAAAGCAGTCTTTCGTGGTTGCTTGAGTTATCGTCTAGACAACAACAGATAGAACTGCAAACAAAAACTGTATTCTAACATGCCAAATCTCAAATAATTTGTAATTTTGTAACACAAATGAAATACTGCACTCATAGCTGGGCTTCAAAACCCTTGTAAGACTTGAGTTTCTGCTTGTTCTAAAACTCTCATACTCTTGTTGCAGTTGGTTTTGTAAAATACCCCTGTTCTGCAGGACATTGACATCATTAAAATAGAGGAACCCTGTGATATATAGAAGAGGGCGTGGTTCTATTTGAGGTAAGAGCAGGGAATATTTTAGCATGCCATATTCATTGAATGTCTTGCAAAAATGGCATCTTGTGAAAGTCTGAAAATGAATAAATACTATAATTGCAAGACCATAGAAGATGGTAGCTATTGTAAACTGCCATGGATTTGTTTTGATTCTCTCATGTCCATTTGTTTTTTAAAGCAACTGCTCCTGGAGTCAAGATCTTTCTTTCCTTATCTCCCTTTCTTAAAATCAAAGGTTCTGTGTCTCAGATAAATTAAAGGCTGAGGGGAAGACTGTCACAGCCATGCATTATGCTATTCTGATGAAAGCTGCTGCCTCCACAAAAGGCATGATATCATGGCTCAGGAAGCAGCTCTTGGACCACCACAATTTATAATCTAGTTTCTGTTACCTGTACTGCAGGGCTGAAAAGTGTGGATATTCAGGACCTGCTTCTGTAAGTGGTGTAGTCATCATTGCACAGGAGCAATGACCTTGGCTGGCAGGGAGGGGCAAGGCAAGTGGGAGTGATGCCTCTTGCACCTATTTGATCTTAATCTATTGCTGCCCAAGACACAACAAGGGGGTTTTAGACTTTGTGCTGCAAAGGTGTTGGTTCATTTGGGTTTTTTCCTTAATATGCATCCATCTATAAAAAAGACAAAGTACAGCAGAGAGCGTGCATGAGGACCCCAGAATACTTAACTTCTGAGATCAAGTGTGCCTTGTTCAGATATTACTATTGTAAGTGGTTCAACATGAATTTCAGAGGGTCACTAAGTAAATTATCCCTGACTAATTAAACCAGTTTTGAGTTACGCAAGCCGTCTCAAGTACTGAGAGACTTCTCTGACATGCCTGTATCCTCATACTTCATAGGCTTATACTCATGTACAATTTAAAGGTCAATTAGAAGAGGTTTTATACCTGGCTTTGGTCTTTCATTATTTCTCATTAGTTAGTAATAAGATGCATTACATATTATGCATCCTACAAGAGGGTCAATAAAATTGTGCACATTTCTACATGATTGGTGGTTTCTTTACTACTTTCTCTCAGCATAATTCTCTTTTATTTTTTCTACCTGTGCTCCCCACCTCCTTTTCTCTGTTCTGTGTGTGCTGTTCACCACTCCAGCAAAAGCTGCAATAACACAATGCTTTAAAAAGTCTTGTCCCTTTCTTTGTGTAGCAGTTGATGAGAAAGGAAGTGTTTTGACCAGCTTTTCTCTCCAGTGCTGGTAAAGTATGCAATCTTAGCTTTGAGGACAGAAAAAGGGCATTTCTGAGAACGTAGAGAGAAGATGAAGAGTGCAGTCACCCCACTTTTCCTCTATGCCTTCTCCAGATACTATTTTTAGCGCTGTTAGCAAATGGTATCATTTGTTGCTCCAGCCCTTCCATGCCACCATTCCACTGTGCGATCAGTGTGAGCCTTGTCAGCCGTAGGGCTGGTAAGCAGACTGAGGGGAGACCCTGGGGCTAAACTGGGAGCCTGGAGGGGAGCACAAGTTCTAGGCCAGGCTCTGAGATGCATTTGGGTGGTGCAGGGCACGTAATATACAGCCTGGCAGCAAGCAGGGCTGGAGGGATGTTGGATAATCTATTGACTGCTCATGGTGTGAGCTCTCAAAATCCATTTAAATACATCACTTCCTCCCCCTCCCCCCAACCTATGCAGGTACTTCCAATAAATGGCAGCTTGAAACAGTAGCTTTTCAAGAATCTAACCATTTCGAGGCTTAGGAATGAGCACTAAGAGGAAAGGATTTTCTTGCTGCTGATCACAGCAGAAGCTGGGAGTGAGGTGTGAGGTGGTGGACAGGCCCTTGGTCAGCATCTCCCACTGAGCTCTGCTGCTCCTTCCATCCACGGGCACTGGGGTTTGGCCACTGTTATTTAATATGCCTTCCCCAACCATTGCGTGTGTGCGCGCATGTACGGGCACTTAGCAGTCTCCGAGAAGGATGCAGGAGCATCCCTGCTGCTGTCTGTAATTAGCAGTTATTTAATTTGACTATTAGGGGGTAGAGGAGAAGGGGGTAGTACCAGGAAGCATGAGGCACCGACGGAGGGGAGGCAGCGTTCCCACAGTCCCTCCCCAGGGGCGATCGGTGACGGATCACCTCTCCTCAGGAGAACGATGCGGTCCTGGTACGCAAACTAAAAACCTGAACTACCCGGGCGCCCCTTACCCTGCCTACCCTGCCGCGGGGCTGACACCACTTCCCGGCGGCTCTTCCTGCAGTGTTCAGAAAACGCTGCTGGCTCGGCCACCGGAGCTCCCGGCAGGCAGGTGAAGCGCCGGCACGGGGGGAGCCCGGGAAGCAGCAACAAGCGCTACCCCGGCTACCACACGTGTCCCGCGACCGGCTCCCGGCTTTTGGGGTGGGCGAAGCCGCGGAGACCCCGCCGGGGCGGCGCTGGGGTCCTTTGTTGCCGCCCCGGGGCGGCCACATGCGACGGGGTGCGGGAGGAGGAGCTTTGCACCGCCCTGGCACCGCCGGCCGCCCTGTCCCTGGGTCGAAAGTTTGAGGGACGGCGGCGACGGGGCCGTCCCACGGTGTCCCGGGGCGTGCCGGGCCGGAGCGGGGCGGGGGAGGCATGGCGGGGCGGGGCGGGCCGGCCGCGGCGGCGGCGGGGAGTCGGCGCTAATCCGACGGCCGGGCCGGGGCATGGAGGGGGAGCGGGAGGACGGCCCCGCCGCCCCGGCGGAGAGCGGCACGTCGGAGGTGTTCGGCCAGCTGTGGGCGGACGTGATGGGCATCCTGGTGAGTGCGGACGGGACGGGAGCTGGGAGCGGGGCGGCCGCGGGGCAGCCTGCCGCGGGACGGCGGGGCCAAGGGGTGCCCGCCTGGTCTCCCCAGCACCTGCTCCGGAGTTGGCCCCAGCTGGAGCGTGCCCTCGTTCCAGCGTGCGGACGCGTACGTCCCAGAAAAACTGACTCGACGGCTAAAGCCAAGTGCTGCGTCGGTGACCATCGCCGTGTTGGAGTAGAGCTGTCAGGGCTGTCGTGCTAGAAGGGGCGGATCGGCCGCTCCGAGCATCGCCAAGGAGCGGGGTCCGGGCAGGGGCTGCCCACCGGCGGGGACACACCCGGGAGCGCCGGTTCAGCCGGATCAATGGGCGCATTGTCCTGGGTTGCTCCGGCGAGCTGCCGGATTCAGTGCAGTTTGGGCTGAAGGCGGTGTCGCTGCAGCCTTTGCATCCCACGCACGTGTTTCGGAGGGAAGTCTCACGCGTGGGGGGCACTCCCGCGAGTCCCCCGGGCACGGCCGCCCATCCCGCAGCGCTGCCCGGGGTCCCGCGGCATTCCCGGGCGCCGGCTTTGGAGCTCTTAGTCCCGGTAGTTTTTGTAGAGGCGAGTTGCTCGGTTACGGCCCGCGGAGTTTCTGCGCCGGTGATCTTCTGAGGAGGGGACTAATCCTCGTAATTCACTGGTTACAGACAAAAGAGATGGCCCCAGTAACGAGGGGTCAGGGAACTACGTTTAATGGGCACGTAGCGTACCGACAGGACGGACTGGATGGCAAACAGTAAAAATACAGGAAGAGTCAATCCTTTATTTCTACTTGCAGCGAGAGAATAATATTTACTTTAGGTGCAAGATGATAATTACCGCAGAGGACTGCCACTCGGCAGAAAAACAACTACTAATGTTATATACCTACTGGAGCTGGCAGCTTTCCAGGGATACAGGAATGTGGTAATCAACAGTGGAGTGCCTGTTTATTCATTTTAAAAGCAAATGAATAGGCTTGATGCACGTTAGGTTCTGTTGTTAACATTTAACTAGCAGACATTCAAGAATATTATGAGAAATACTTTTTGGGAAACTGCCGTGGATCATAATGAATACTAAACCCGCAGGATCTAATTCAGAAGTGTTATAGAATTGAATAGAGAATTTAATTAGCATTTTATGCTGCATTTCTTTTTACCACATGGACTTTATTGTTAATATTCAAAGTCAGATTAAAAAACCTGCCTCATTCCTTTTCTTCATAGAAATTCTCCATTTAATAGCACCCAACTGCATACACTTTTTCACTGTTAATGATTTTAATCTAAGAATGCAAGCAGAGTCAGTTCTGCCAGTTTGTAGGGAGCACACAGTTGGTACTTTATGAACAGTCTCTTTCTCTCTTTTTCTGGCAGGTCTCAGAACTGCATTTAGTAAAAGCAAAGTGCTATTGGATGCCCGGGAAGGAGTGTTTGAGGAGGCCAGACCAACAGCCTAGCATGCTGAAGCTCAGCACAGAAAAAGATCTGATTCTCACACAACTAATAATTTGAATAGGTTTCTTTTGACTATACAGGCTAGTTTGCTTCCTGAGAAAACAGAGCTATTTAATTTTTATTTGTCTTCTAATAAAACTATGCTGAAGTCATTTTTCTTAGAGTTGGTCAGTTTTACAGAAAGGCATCATCTTGTGACTGCGAAGTTGCTGGCTTATATTAGTTGCAAACATCACCCAGCACTATTCTCTCTTTTTTCGTTGGTGTTTTATGTTGCAACACAATTAAAAATATGGAAAGACACCTTTTTATTAGGTCTCATAAAATAACTTATTAGAGGGAAGACAGAAGCTCTTCTCACTGCAGGTTGTCAACCTTCTACAGATTTAGGTTTTTAAAGAGTTTCTGGTCTTTGGGACTGTAAAATAAGGTCTTAATATGAACTGAATATAAACTTCTTTGGTGCTCTGTCATTGTTTGAAGGCAAGGAAGAGGTAGCTCCAGTGCCATTTTCACTGCTCATCTTTGTAGTACTTAGAACTTAGTCCCTTTCAAGCCTGGGCTGCAAAAAGCAAGCAGTAAAGTAAACTTGTGGCTTCCAACTGGAAGTCTGTAGATGGTTGGTTGTGGTCCACGAGGCCTCATCAGAGACCTGTATAACTGGCTTACTTCTTTTGCGTTGTCAATTATGTGAGAGTATGGGTCTTAAATTCTTGGGATTTATAGCAGTTCACGATCCAAACTGTCTAGGGAGCACAAAGGTAGACATTCACTGGGAATGGCTCTATGAGTGAAGAAGTAGGTGTAGTGATAGGTTGGCTAGGTTGGTCCTGCAACAGCTTGAATGCTACCAAAGAAGTGCATTAGCAGGGCAAGAGAGGCAGGAGAGGCAGACAAGATCTGCTCTTGTGAGACCCCATCTGGAGTACTGCATCCAGCTCTGAGGTCCTCAGCACAGGAAGGACACTGACCTGTTAGAGCAAGTCCAAGATAGCTGGTATGGATGGAGCACCTCTCCTGTGAGAAAAGACTAAGAGAATTGGGATGGTTCAGTCTGGTGAAGAGAATGCTTTGGGGTGACCTAATTGCAGCCTTTCAGTCCCTGCAGGGAGCCTACAAGAAAGGTGGAGAGAGACTTTTCACAATGGCATGTAGTGACAGGACACAGGGGAATGGCTTTAAACTGGCAGAGAGTAGGTTTAGATTAGGTATTAGGAAGAAATTCTTTACTATGAGTGCTTAGGCATTGGCACAAGTTGCCCAAAGAAGCTGTGGATGCCCCATCCCTGGAAGTCCTCAAGGCCAGATTGGATGGGGGGCTCTGAGCAACCTGGTCTAGTGAAAGGTGTCCCTGCCCACGGCAGAGGGGTTGGAACTAGGTGATCTTTCAAGTTCCTTCCAACACAAACCATTCTATGATTACGTGATCTTGGGAGGGAAAACTAGAATGAAATGAAGAAAGGTGATCATCAAAAGTTTGTTGATTAAATGAAAGAGAAAATTGCATTCTTAAGCTATGATTGTAGGGTGATGCAGATTAGAAAGGATCTCAGGCAGCATCTAGCCTGTCCTCAAGCTGAAGCAGGCAGAGCTCTGAGGCCCGGTGAGGTTGCTTGGGGCTTTATCCAGTTGTGTCTTGAAAAACCTCTGGGGACTGAAACTGCACAGCCTCTCTGTGCAGCCTGTTCCACCACTTTGCTGTCCTTACGGTGAAAAAGATGTTCTTCATAAAAGTGATGAAATGCCTGATTCTGCCCTCCTCATACTGAGTAGTTAGAGCAGTGGGGAAGGTGTCGCCTTCCTTCCGCTGGTCTTGCTGAAAGGCTTGTGGACCGTGGCGGTATCTGCCCTAGGTGCTGGATTAGGGGAAGAGGCCATGGATATCAGCCCAGCTGATATTCACCACTGAAGTGACTTAAAATACCAGGTGAGCCCCTCTCACTCAGCGGATAAATATATTTCATTCTTTGTGTATTTTTAATTAGCTTCCTTAAAATAGGACCTTGTTAGCAGGAACCTGTGATGGCAGATCCCAGGTCCTGAGGGGAAGCAAATAGCTGTCAAGTGCTGCTTGTAAGCAGCATATTTTATGGACTTTGAAGTCACATAATAACTCTTTACACTTGACAAATACTGAGTGTACTTGCAGCTGTATATGATCTTGCTGAAGTAAATGTGACTTTTCCCTTTTGCGCTTTTCTAATGTGATATTCCATAGGTGCAGCTGGGATATAGGTACCTCAAAGCTATTTGTGCTGTTAATGGAGCTCATTAGATAACAAAATTATACCTAAAAGCTTTTGGTTAGTCTGTAGCAAGCACATGTTGGAATCTATTGGATAATTATAATTTTCAGTGATTCAAAGCAGCAGTGGATGGTGGAAGTGTATTAAGGGTTTAGAAAGAGGTGAATTGTGAGTAGTAATATAGAAATTCTCTGCATCGCCAAAAGCTCAACCCCATAAAAAGGGATATTTTGGCATAGAATCATGTATTGATGTGGTGATAGCAAACGCTTTGTTGTTAAGAGTCTGAAGGTTTTTGTGATCAAATCTGTGATCAAATCGTAACATGAAGTGAAAATCATGAACTTTATTCTTTTAAAGATGTGCTTTCAAAATATAGGCTATTGACCTTAATACCGGAAAGACACTCCAGGGCCTTTCTTGTTTATGGGAAGTTCTTCCTTCTCACAGAGGAGGAAATAGCTGGGTCAAATCCTGACATTAATGCAATCAGTGGCAAAACTCTGACCAATTTTAATAGAGCAGGAATTTCACTGAAGGAAGCATCTTATTTTTGGGGGGAGCTTTTGTCTTCAATGGCCAAGATGTCAAAGATAGAGCAGAACTTGAAAGAGATGCTATGAAATTAGAAGTCATTCCAGTTTTTTATTTCAAAGTGATAGTTTCTTGTTTCAAACAACTGAATCAATTAGAACAGCTGAAACAAAAAGAAAATTATTTCTTTTTTGATAATATTTTGCAGTTATGCTAAGAGAAAACCAGTGTTTTCCCACCATCTGCTGTTAGCTAAAGAGAACAGAGTATTTTTAGGACAATAAGGCTCACTTGGCTTTGTACAGGGAACCCTGCTATTTAGATATATAATCTATCTTGCTTTCAGTGTTTCAGTGACTATTTGAATTTCTTATCAAAGTAATAAAGAAACAAACTGAAAGAGAGAAAGATGCCAGCTAATAATGCTACTGGATAACATGTAATTATATACTGGCTAACATAGTTGGGGAGGGGGAACTTGATATTAAGCCAGGGAGCCTGGATATCTAAAGAGATCAGGGAAGTAGATCCCCAACTGATAAAAGCAGTTGTAGGAGGAGTTGTGGCAGCTCACACCAGCCTAAGATTTCTTCCAGGATTGCTCTTTCTTAAACCATTATTAGGTCACTGTGACCTGTGGAAATCTCTCTATTCCTCTCCCAGTGTCTTGCTGGGTGACTCTTTCTCTAATGTCTGCTTGGCACAGAGAGGCCACTCCAGCTGAAGCCATGGGTACTCAGCATGGCTCTGTG